GGGGGGGGGGGGCGGAGGAGAATGTCCACAGCGGCATACGCACCTTCCCAGACTCCTGGAGATCCTGCTTCAGAGTGGCCGACGTCTGGGAGTGCAGCTCCAGCGCAGCACGCAGCTCCTTCAGCTGGGTCTCCGCCACGGCCAGCGAGTTCTCCACAATCTTCCTGTAAGAGGGGCATGTAGAAGGCGTACGAACACACAAAGGGGGGGGGGGGGAGCGAGGAGGGGGCAGTCAGCGGCTGAGAGCGAGCGAGGCAGAAAAAGGTTTATGCGGTCCTTCCTCCCACGTCCTGCTCCTTTTCAGCAGAGCACGCGGCGCGCTGGATCACGCACCGCTGGTTGGTCTCGCGCTGGAGGCTCATCTGGAAGTTCTGCTCCGAGGCGGTCAACGTGGCCATGCTCTCGGCCAGGCTGACCTGGGTATCGGCAGCGCGCTTGCTGCTCTGTGCGGCCTCCTCGCGGGCACGCTGGAGGTCTAGCTCGGAGCGCTGGAGGGCCGACGTCGTTGCCGTCAACCGGGCACGGAGCTGGTCCGTGAGGGTGGTCTCTATATGAATATATATATATATATGTATGTATGTGTGTATGTGCCGGGGGGTGTTCGGCAGAGAGGAGGGAAGAGCCAGGAGGGAGGGGTCAGAGTTGGCCAGAGATCCGGGACTCAGCGAAATGTCCGTGTCAGGCGTGGACGCACCCTTGGCCAGGTTAAAGCGCAGAGCTGTGAGCTCCGACTCCAGAGCAGCGTATGCCCGATTGCGGACAATGCCACCGGTGCCCTGGGACGAGGAGAGCCCCACATCTGGCTTCTTCTCGAGATCCGCCAGGGACAGCGGTCCATCGGACAAGTGGCCATCCTGCGACCGGGAAAGAGAGGCCGAGCCAGAAGCCGAGCTGGGGGCCGAGGACCCGCTACGCGAAAGCTCGGACCCGCTGTGGGACAGCTCGGACCCGCTGCGCGAAAGTGGCCCCTCCAGGGGAGTCGTCGAGTTGGGCGTCACATCCGGCAGGGAGAGCCGGCGCTCGGCCGGCCGGCCAGAAAAGCCAGTGGTGAACCCCTGGAAGGAGCGCCCGGTCTCAACATCCGAGTTGGCGAGCAGGGCCCCGCTGACGCCAGCCGAGGAGCCCCCACCGCTGGAGGTGGAGAGCGGGGCAGCTGGCCGCGAAAGAGGCGGGCGCTGCTTGGCCGCATCGGTGGCGGGCGGCTGCTCGGAGGTGGAGCGCGACCCGAAGGAGGTAAAGCTGGTGCTGAAGCTGCTCCGAGAGACATGGGGCTTGGTGGCTGGCTCGGCAGCGGGCCTGAGGAAATGGTGAGCAAGCAAGGAGGCGGCAATGGGAGCGGGGGGGGGGGGGGGGAAAAAGGCGGGGCATGGAAGCCAGGGCGTACTCAGCAACGACCGGGGCCGGGCGCTTGGCCGGGGGCTCTTCGAGTGCAGGGCTTGGCTCGGCCGCGAGCTCGGAGAAAGACCGGCGCAAGCTGGCCGAGTCGCGTCCGGAGTCGGAAAACCCGGAAGAAAAGCCCCCGAGGAAGCCGCCGGCCGAGCGAGAAAAGGAGGAGGACACGGTCTTGGCGATGGGCTTCGATGGGAGGGCCGGCTCATCCATGACCGCAGCGGCGGGAGTGTTGCCGGAGGTGGCGGTGTCGACCGGGGGGCCGGAGGTGAGGATGTCCTTCATGGAGTCCCTCGGGCGGACGATCGTCGCGGGCTGCTCCGAAGCCGAGGAGGCCTCTATCGAGGTTGTCGTTGAATCCATCAAGAGAGGTCAGAGGGTGGGCATCCATGCAGGCGGATGTTGGAGGTGTCCACAAGTGTGTGTGTGTGTGTGTGTGGGGGGGGGGGGGGGAGGGCGCACCTGCAGAGGAGCGAGAGAAGTCACCGAAACCGTTCATGGCTCCGGGATCTGCGTGGTGCAGAGGGGAGTGGGGCAGCGAGCAGCGGGAGGGGGAAAGGAGGGAGGAAACAAGCAGATGGGGCGGCGTGGGGAAAAGTGTGGGGGTGGGGGGAAGACGGATTCGCATTGTCCCAGGCTTAGATCTCGCCCCGGGACAGGGCGCACCCCCTTTGGGCGAGGACAGTCCAGAGCGGGGTGGGGTGGGGGCACACCCCCGGAGAGCCTACCAGCCTCCAGCCCGGGACAGATCCGCCTGCCTCCCCTTCCCCCCCCCCCCCTCTTTCTCTCCCCCTCCGCCCCGCTCGAGACCACCCCGCCTTGAACGATGGTTGGCGCGATCGGGAGTGAGAGGGACCGGAGGAGGAGGGGGGGGGGGAGATAGCGTCCGCCGAATAACGGGGAGCATTCTTCCCGCGAAAGGGGGGCCGAATGCCGGGGCGGGGGGACCTTGTCCCCGGGGCCAGGCGCAATAATTCAAATTATAACGACGTTAGAACAGCGTTGTCGCGGCACGTGTCCATCGGCGCTCCACCATCCAGACCAGCTGATCTAACACGTGTCCCTCAATCGCGTAGATCTTGAGGTGGCTGGGGAAGATGAGAAGGGCTGGGGACCGGTCTCGGTGGTGAAGACGGGGGGGGGGGGGGCGTTCGGCTCCAATGGATGGGCCTTCAAGCGTCGGCACACTTCGGGCGATCGATCACCCTCCGTCAGTAGAACAAAATCCACCTTCTCTCATCCTGCATGCCCCTCCCCCTCGTTGTCTCCCCCCCTCGCCCCTCGCCCCTCCTTCCCCGCACCACACTGGCAAGCCAATTGAAGGAGCTCATCATTCTCTCTTCGCCGACTCTTTGACGGTTTCCCCCTCGCTGTTCTCCTCTTCCGCCACAGTCATCATGAGCCGCCACGCTAAGATGACTTTCTATGCCACCTGTGCGGTGACAGGCCTGATCGTTGGCCTGGTACACTGGGATCAGAAGAAGACCCATGAGGTATGGCTTTCGTTGCTTCTTTTTTTATCCGCTGTCCGTGGCACTCGCTTGTTACTTCCTCGAGGGCACACACACACTCTATCTCTCTCTCTCTCACACACACACACACACACACACACACACACGCGTATGCATGCCCTCCTCTCTCTCTCTCTCTCTCTCTCTCTCTCGGTGTCTCCTCCCTAGCGAATGATCCAGCCGGTGATCGATCTCCACCGGGCCCAGGGTACCGCGGTCGGCGACGCATATCATGACCCGGAGGCCGCGGCCCGCCGCCAGAAGAATGTTGCCGAGCTGGAGGCCCAGCGCGAGCTGGAGTCTTTCCTGCGCCAGCGCGAGCAGCAAGGGACTCAGCCGGGAGGCGCGTCGGCCGCACTGGCAGCTGAGGAAGCCGCGCTGGCGGCTCGGGCGGCCGTTGCATCAACTGTGCCGCTGCCCTCGTCACCTTCTCCTCCCGCTGAGCCCCCTGCCGCCTCCTCCTCCTCCCCCCCTTCGGCGACGGCCTAATACGAACATGCCAAGCAGCCTGGGCTCATCGGATATAGCAGATGGAACTGGACATCTCTTCCACCAAGGAATATATTAGACACATTGGAAAGAGGGGGATTTCACCCGAGCAAGGTGGCTGAGGGGCTACACAGGGCCGAGCATGTGCGCGTGCGTGTGTGTGTGTGCATGCTTGAGGGAAAGACATGGAAATAGGGCCTATGTGTGAAAGTGTGTGCGAGCAAGGCCAGCGTCCGGGGCGCCTACCGCTGCCGGCAGGCGTGCCGTGTCGCCCCCTCCTGCCGGCGGGAAACGCTGAGTCACAAGCGCGGAAAAAAATAAAATAAAATAGATCGCTCACACCTGTTCCGGGCTCCCACGCCAGGGGGCTCTTTCGCCTTCCAACGAGTCCGCTGGCAGCACGCTCCCGGGTTGGCTTGCTGCCGCGTGACGGCTCGTAGCCCGGGCCCGGGGCGCCCGGTCCGATGGCAGGCCCTAGCATGAGGGGCCCCGAGCCTCGCTCGCCGGGCCCCGGCCCGCCCGCGGTCCTTCTCTCTCTCCCTCTCTCCCTGCCTCTTCCTCTTTCTCTCTCATGGCCGGGGGGTTCTGTTGTGGTGGCGACTTGAGCGCCGATTCCGGCGCACGTTGGGGAAACATGTGAGCTGTCTCAGACTGGATGCCGGGGGGGGGGGGGGGGCACCCCCGGCCTCGGGGCGGGGAGGTGTCCTCTGCTTTGAAGGCGGGCGCTTTGCGACTGCATGTCCGTTGCCTGTGGGGCCTCTTTTGCCCTGCATCCGGGAGAAGCAGGCCAACGGAAGGGAGGGGGGGGGGGGGGGGGGGCGGTGATGCCATATCTGGGCTCTGGTCCGCTATCCCCTCCTTGCAGTCGGCCCTGAAGCATGCCGAGGGCGTCGCGCTAGATAGCACGCGGGGAAGGGGGCACGTTCTACAGGCCCACGCCCCCGGTCGGAACCCACGGGGCCGGGTGGGCCCGCAACCTGCAGGAGTCCCAAAAAAACATCCGTCCCCGGCGCGGGAGACGGCCAGAGGCCCCACACTATCTTCTCATTCGGGGGGGGGGGGGGCGTTCAAGGGACTTGGGCACGGGCCGTTGGGAGGGCGCTTCGGTGGCTCTTTTTCCCCTCCCCTCCCCACGGTGCCGGAGAGACAGGGCCACGGCGAGCTACCAACTGGGTGGAGGGGGGAACCAGGCCCGAGGCTGGGGGGCCCACGGGGGGTGGACGGATGGGTGGTGGTGGCGGCGGCGGCGGCGGCGGGGGGGGGGGGGCGGTCGCTTACAAATCCCCACCCCGGTCCTGGCGAGACACTGTGGGGCACGTACCGATATGTATATATATGGGACCTGGATAGAACGCTCGGCGTCCGCCTGCCTGCACCCCTCCAAGGTTGTCTCTTCTTTTGTGTCATCCTTTGATCCCCCTCCCTCCTTACCACCATGCTCGCTTCTTTCAACAGCATCGCTGAGCTCGAGGCCCTCCTCGCCAAGCCCAACCTCGTGCGTGCCTCCAACTTCCTCCCCCCCTCCCCTCTCTCTCTCTCTCTCTCTCTCTCCGACGCACCGACATGGCGTGTGCCAGATTTACTGCCTCCCGACTTGCTACCTGTCGCTGACCTCTGCCCCCCTCCCCCTTCCTCGCTGCGCGCCCGCGCTCCTCATGCACACACAGACTGTCGTCGACTTCACCGCCACCTGGTGCGGTCCCTGCCGCATGATCGGCCCCATCTTCGAGCGCTTCTCCGGCCAGTACACCGATGTCACCTTCGTCAAGCTCGACATCGACGATCCCGCCTACACCGTGCGCCCCCCCCCCCCGGCATTTCCGCCTGGCTCTCCCTCCCCGGGCTCCTCCCATCAACGCCGCTTCTCCTTGCTGACTCCCCCCCCCCGCTCCCCCATGCTCCCCGCCCCTCCCCATATGTGCCCCTCAGTCCTTCGTCCAGAAGCACAACGTCACCTCCCTGCCGACCTTCATCTTCTTCAAGAACGGCCAGGCTGTGGCTCGCTTCAGCGGTGCCGACGCCGGCACCCTCAAGCGCCACATTGAGGCCAACATGTAATTTGGCTCGCTCTCTTCTTCGCGCCGGGGGGTCCGGGCGGTGCAAATGCGCGCACGCGTGTGTGGCCCGAGTGACGGAGAGGTGGTCTTCTCCTCTCTACAATCCCGCCTCCAGCGCGCCCTTTCTTGCCCCCTCTGTAATACAAAATGCCCTGATAATGTGTGCCACTTTCTTCCCTTCTCCCATCCTGCGGGGGGGTCATCGGACGATGCCTCGTCCCGCTGTCGAGGTTTTGCTGCCGCCGTCGGGCGATCATGTTCCGCCGGCCGCGTATGGCACACACATCCCGACGCAAGTGTTTTGTCAGCCCGGGGAGGGGGGGGGGGGTCCTTGCGAACAACAGAAGACAAAGGGGAAGAAGAAGAAGGAGAAAAGTCTAGTGTATATTTCCATGGTCACAGCCATGTACGGGCACGATGTGTGCATATGCGTGAGAAGACAAAGAAGGAGGGGGGAGGGGGAGGGAGAGACAGACAGCGCGGCACTCTTCGCGCTGGGGGTGCTCGCCAGCCTTCGTCCTGGTCCAACGCCTCGGGTGCATATGCATATTGGCTCCTTTGTGGGTACTCCCGCCCGTCATGGGGACGGGGGAAGGGACTCCCGGTGGGCTGATAGACGCCCGGACAGCTCGCGCATCAGATTCGAGGGAACTCCGCCTGCCGTCGGGCCTGGACGCGGAGAGGCCCACCCGCCGGTGGTTGGTGGCGGGGGCGATCCCGATGGCGTGCCACTCATCATCGCCGGGGCCGGGCTCCCCGATCCGGAGGACGGCTGTGAGGAAGATGCGCCGCTGGCTCCGCTGCCGCCAGCGGCGTCAGCCGACAGGGAGTACGACGAGCTGGACGACCGGATGCCGAGGGATATCGAGGGGAAGGACAGCCGTAGACGGTGCTTGGGCCGGGGCTCATCGTCCGGGTGGCCGCCCATCGTGTCCACCGGGCTCGGGGTGGTGGCATTGTCATGAGAGGCAGCCCCAGCAGACACATGGCCCGGGGTCAGGGATCCCGGGGGAGGAGGATGGCCGGCCAGCTGGCTGGCTGCCGCCCCAGTCTCGGGCCGGGGCTGCGTTGTTGCTGCGGCTGCGGCCGCACCGCCGGGCATTGCATACGGCTTCGGGGGCAGAGGCAATTGGCTGGCAGAGATCGCCGGGCTGAGCCTTGGCGGGGCCGAGGGCGGCGCGGCACCATAGCCCGACGACGTGGCCGAGTACACTCCGGGCGGCGGGGCCGAGAAGGGCACCGCCGTCCCCGAGGACATGCCACTCCCGGCGGCCGGACCGCCGGTGGCCAACGAGGCCAGCGGTGGTGGTGGCGGCGGCAGCGACGTCAGACGGCCACCGGCGTTGGGCATCGGTGAGGGGATGGCCGGGCGAGGTGACGGCGAGGCCGGTGGCTGCCGAGGCGGTGTGGTGGTGGGCCCCTGCATGGAGCTGGCGGCCGAGGCATTCGGCCGCAGCGAGAAGGACTTGCGCCGGAGCAAAGGTGAGGACTTCGAGGAAATTGGCGTTGCCAAGGGTGATCCAGGAAGATCCTCTGTGATGGGCGAATTTGTCCAAGGAGGGGGGGGGGGAGGAAGAGGGGGAACCATGACCAATCCGGGAGCGGAGGGAGGGGGCATATGTTAGAACCGCATCACCCACACGAAAGGCGATGGAGGAAAGAGGAAGACACAAGGGCTGGGAGACAGGGCGTGAAGCAAAAGGATCAGGAGGACGCACGGGTGTCGACCTCGCGTTGGCTGGCGGACCGGCGCTGGCCATCACCGGTCGGCGTGTCGGCATTCGGCAGGGGAGAGGGCAGCGGCGAGGTGGGAGTTGAGTTGAGCTGCAAGCCAGTCTGGCGCTCGGAGGAGAGACTGCGCTCAAGCTCGGAACGCGTCACTCGGCAATAGCGGTTGAGGGCCGTCAGCTCGAGGTATGTCTCCACGATGTTGACATCCTGTGGGAAGGCACAAGAGGAAGTATGTGTGTCAGAGACGGGGAGATCTCCGCGGGGCCGGGAGGGGGGGGGGGG